ATTGCTCCTCTAGCCGAGGTTGTTGCCTTATTATTTCAAGAATTTCAACTGCGTATGAACTGTCATGCACCATCATTTCAACTGTTTCTTCCACGTGTCCCATTCTTACAAGCTCATACCAGGCATGCGTTATCAGGTCACTTCATTCCTGTCCACGCCGCCTTACAGGCACGTCATCCAAGGCAATTTCATTACGTTTTGCCGCCTTTCCAGTTTTTGACAAAACTTTCCCTCACTCTCTCTTCGTCTTTTCACTTTCACAATTCCAAACTTCTCTCGTCTCAGATTTTCTCTCTAAGCCCCTAAATTGCCATTTTTGAACCTTCAAAGCTTTTGCAACTATTCCAGTCAACTTTTCTGGCAAGCTTTTCACTGTTCCACTCTGTTCGATGTCATCGCTTGACTCCGACGAACCTCATTCCAGCATCTTAGTTCTCGGCTCCATCTTGTAAGTTTTCAATTTCTTTCTTTCCAAATTTCTACCTCTTACTGTTTCGTGAATAATTTCACTTTTGACATGTTGCATTCATCAAATTTCCATCCATAGCTAAGAAATTTTCTTTGATGTGTTTGCCATTTGTCATGTTCTAGATTCTGTTTTACTGTACCATATTTTTTTCGTGTCACACACACCACTATACACTGTGATCGCATTTTTGTTGCCATCGGATCTCTTGTTCACGTTTATCCCTTGATTTGTCCATTTGTTCTTCTTATGCTCTATGCTTTGTTCTTGTAATATCTGTGTTTTTCTCTGTATTTTTGTCATTTTGAATCATGTTCTTCTGGCTTTCTTGTCTGTTTTCCAAATTATTGCTTCTGCATCTTGTCTACCTGCATAGGCTTTAGGTTTGGGAACTGCCTTGAAATCACACTCTTAGGAAGAACTGAACAAAAAATCTTCCTTAGATCTCCAAAATCATTGCCCTAGTACTTAGTAGGGTTTTGTCGAGGTACTGAGAACCATCCCCGACACAAAACATTACCGTAACCCATTAAGCCGAGGTGATGGGGACGTTTAAGTGGAGGGTAGATTCACCCAGTAAGTTAGAATACTTTCACCAAGAGTTCTCTATTCTAGCTGATGTTCACCTCAGGTTGGATGGGAAAGAGGACTCTATTATGCCTGGAAAGGACTATATGTCATTCCTTGTAGTTTTCATCATCGACGACGGAATGAAATTCCCCCTTGACATTCTTTTCCGAGAAGTTTTGCACTTCTATAAACTTTACTCCATGCAATTAGCCATTAATCCATTTAGTGTTATCAACGGTATTGCTGAGTTGGCACACCGAGAAAACGCTAGGATCACCCTCACTGACATCTAGTTCTATTGTCCACCAGTGGTTATACTTACTACCTCAAGCCCAAATCCACTGCATTCAAAATCATAGCCGACCTACCCGACTCCAATAAAGGCATTGGAGAGGACTACCAAATTGTCTCGGACAATTGGGAGTTTGCAAAATGCAAATGGGAACCAAATGCAAATGGTGAAACTTGAACCCAAAAGATCCAACAAACAAAGCTCTAATACCATGTTAAGTCACCAATTATCCCAAAAGCGTAAGCTGTTAGGAATGAGCCTAACAATGTAGGTGAAGCTAGCCAACACATGATGCGTTACTTAAAGATCCTACGGTTTGACAATAATAGTAAAAAATGTAAAGTCCATTGATGAAAGATTCTGTCATTCACATGATGCATTACTTATAGATCCTAGGGTTTGACTCTTGCTACTTTCTCGGGTTTATTTTGGACCTGCGCTATTTAAGTTTGATATATGCTATTTTCTAGAGTGCTTGATTAATAGAATTATTCATTCAGTTAGATTCTTTCTCTTGAAAATACTTGAATTCAGAAAATAGTCTTTTTTTTCTTTTTTTTTTTGGTTTCTGTTTCCCCATCCTTGTTTCATATGAAGACTCAACTCTGCTGGATCTTATGCGTGATTGATAGATGTGCCACAAAACGGCATCTAATGTGTTGCAGCCTTACTAAAATCTGCATCATTAGCCCATGCAATTCTATTTGGATGGCTGTAGAAAAAGTTACTCCCGTGTTGGTCCCTAGTAACCGAGGATTTTGGGAGGGGTAGACAAGTTATAGAGCTAGCCTTCGGCATAATTTGCACAAAGTGGCTGCCTATATACTGAAACCTTCATTCTCATGCTTGCAAGCACAACCCATTACTGCTGCCACCAAGCAATGGCCCCTTTGTGCCAGGTGGTGCGTGCCTACGTACTTTCTCTATAGCTAATTTGGACTGAAATGGTAGCTACAAATTACAATGAGGCAGCTGATCTATGAATGGCAGTGCAAATTGTTAGTATCTTAGAAATACAGATACTCTGTCTTAATTAAAATTTTAAATTCATAATATCATGTACTTTATAGACACTTCTCGGTCACTTTGGCAACATTTCTTGAACCCTCCGAACATGACGTATGTGATGAATCTCTTCATAGTAATAATGTTATGTATTTTTCAGAATGCAACTTATGCACTCAAATATGTTTTGAAACATTTACAATATGAATATATCATGTGTATTTCAATGTTACACAACTGTTTTTTATTCTTTATATTGCTATTGTTGTGTGAATGATATTTTCATTCTTTATATATGGCCTTTAAGTTTTAGTTAGTGTTTTTTTTGCTTTATTACATTGGAATTACTATTCATATATTCAATATATAGTAAAGTATAAAAATATAATTTTTTAATGAATTGCAGGCGTATAAAATTGGTGTATCAACGTGTTCGTGTCATGTCTATGTTTGTGTCTATTCTACTTCCTACTGTTATTAACATTATTTATTCGTGCAGCAGAGAGATGGTATCAATGGAAATGACTTTTCTCCTTCAAACTACTCCAATTCTCATGCTTTAGATCAGTTGAAAGAAGAGAACTGCTGGTTGAAAGAAAGGTGAGTTTCTTTTATTTGAAATATGAATATTCTTTCTCATGCATAGTCCCATACTAACAGTTGCTTTTCTTTTTTCTTTTCTTTCCTTTTTCCCCCTATAGATTAAAAAGAAGGGAACAAGAGATTTTAGGTGATTTGCTGAATGATTTACAAAATGAAAGAGATAAGCGCAAGTCACTTGAAAATAAGGTAAGTGCTGTCTTTTCTTTCAGACCTTGCTCACTTGTCTTCAGCTACAACTGTTGTCCCACATGATTATTTGCGTACCTCTCTCTCTCTCTCTCTCTACTAGATGATGATAAATAATTTAAATTGTCATCTTGGTAGTCGTGAGTGGTTATCCTTTGGAGATTATTATGTGTGGTCTGCCTAATGCAAGTGTAAAGAGAATTTTTAGGCGGAGAGAGTTATAGCAGAACAAGATATTGGGGTGTAGAACTTTTTCATAGTTTTCAACTTGTTTTTCTATGTGGTACCTTTATTTAGATTGTCTCCCCTTTTTTTTCCCTTTTCCTTTTCACATCTCCTATTGCATTAGTGGTGTCACTTCTAATTTTTAATTGCAATATACAGAGTTCTGAGGGTAGCCAAGTTATGACAAATTATGCAAAACGTTAGGTTAGTACCCAATCTACCCTTTCCAGACTTCCATCTAATGGAGATTAAAATTGGCTTACTTTTAAAAATAAATAAATTATAGAGTGTCATGTCTTAATAAACAATTATTATATCACAAAAAGATCAAATCGATGATGTAGCTTTTCTTCATTGTTGATAGAAATGCATAATTTTCAAATACACGCAACCAATCATGATTACTTGTCAGCACCTTAGCATTACATCTTTTGCTTTTCAAGAGTGTGTACAGAATGAGACATACTAATCAAAGAACACACACTCCAAAATGAGTAATGACCACAGAAAGCACACACATATTAACATGAAATGGATGCTCTCATCAATTCCAATATGCCATAAGAACTTCTTAAAAATTTCAAGCTTGCAAAACCATACTAAGAAAATCTTTTTGGTTTTTTTTTTTTCTCTCTAAAATAAAGCAAGACAAAAAAATGAACAAGGGCACACTAAATGATACTACACATTAAATGACCCAAAAACGAAAAAACAAAACAAAAACCCAAAAACTAAAACAAATAAACAAATTAACACAAGTCAAGTTTTCTCACCCAAATCGCTTTAGTATGAACAAAGTTGTGAGAATTGCGGTTCTTGGGTGGTGTCTTGACGTTGTGGTTCCCTTCCCCTTCAATGGGAACCCGTCTCGACCTGGTTTTCAACTTCCTATACCTAGGTCCAGGCAAATGTAAACTCGCTCCATGTTCAGTCTCAAGCAAAGCAGAATAGCAAGGTCTATTATGACCCTTAACTTCATTACGAACAATGAAGTGTCTCTTACCCCACGAGATGTTGGAATTTCTTTCATTTCTATAAGACACTTTTCCATGCAACTCATAACAATAAGGGTGAATATGACCATGATTACCACAATGATAACAAATAAAAACAGGATGTACATTTTTTTCTTTGACCTTACCAACTCTAAGAAGATTGAGAAGTCTTTCCTCTCGTTGAATCTGGTGCTCCCCTTGCCCTTGAGTTCTTATATCATGAGACGTGGATGCACTCTGTTTTTGCTCTTTCTTACCACCAAAGCCAATGCCACTCTTGTCAGGACAAATTTGTTGAGACCCAATGATATTGTCCAAAGTCTTTGATCATTTGTGTCCAAAGACCAATGGTTGCCATAGTGCACTTGAGCCCTTCCTCTTTCTTGATGATTAGCTCTTCTAAGGCACCTTGAGACATCTCGAGAGTTTCAATATTTTCTTCATACGTTGCATAGATTTGCTGTAGCTCATTCCTCTCTATCTCACAAGTCAAGAGTTTTGCACAAAGGACATGTCAATCATTAGATATCTTGATGGCATCAATCCTTGCCTCGAAAATCTCCTCCTTTAGTTTGACAATCTCACTTTCACATGCTTTGAGTTTCATAGTGAGTTTGTCATTCAATTTGGATAAGTTAAGAAATTCCTTATACAATTTTTTATAAGCTTGCTGAAGCTCTTCATCATCACTACCTGAGGATTCATCATCACTCCCGAGGATTCATCATCTGTGACATTCTCAACCGGCCTCTTTGGATACTCTATATGTTCTTCAGTTTCAGAAGCCGCCATGAAAGCAAGGAATTGAAGAGAGGGTGTATAGGTTGCAAGATAGAAATAGAGAGAGAATTCCAAGAATTGGAGCTTTTGAAATTTTTTGGAACCTTAAATCAAGAGGTTTGGCCTAGTTTATATAGAAAAACAACCTAACAGGTTGAAAATATCAAGCCTTGAATAGCTGGAGCTTGTAGGGGACAGTTGGCCAAAAATATCTAGGTTTTTCATTAGTGGCCGACCGGCCAAAAGTGTGGATTTTCGGCCATCAAAAATCTACTTCTAGACCAACTTTAAATCGGCACATCTCCTTCATCTGGACTCCTTTTGTAATGACCCAACCCTTCTACAGCTTTAATTCTATGTATAATTATATGCTTGATGAGAAATTTCATGTGAAATTGTGTTTAATTGTGTTAGTTATATGCTTATGACATTATATCTGTCAGTTGTTAGAAAAACCTGTTAAAATTGAGACATTTGGGTTAGGAATCGGAAACCTAAGAGGCGCGATAACCCGAAATTAACTTTATTGTTTTGATCAACATGATTTTTAGGTCATAACATAAACTTTTGTAAAAATTTGATTCATAACAAATTAAATTGAGTTAATTAGGCGAACCTTAGTTAACCTCAACTTATAGGCTCAAAATAAGCCTTAGTTAGAGACATACATGTGAGTCCATGAATTAGAGACAACTAAGGTAAAAACTATCTCCTGGAGTTAGAGAGACAGAGAGAAGGAAAGAAAGGAACAAAAGAAAAACGGGGGAATCAACTAAGATCTTGAAGAAGTTTGAAGAGATTCAAAATTAAAGTTTGAGGTGAGTATAACCAACTTTCAATACCCTAAATCCTTCCTCAATTGATGAGATTTAAGCCCTACAATGAACGTTTTTACTTACGAGAGTTAGGGTTTGACATCATTAGTTTGTTTGGATAAACATTCATATTGTTCTCTTTAGTGGAGAGTTGATTCATGTGTGGTGAGTCTTATTTGAAAGGAATCATCTTTTAATCTCTCATTATTTACATGTTTTGACTCCTATATGGATATACATGTTAGTATCTAGGTTGGTTAATTATCAAGAGATAAAGGAATAGAAGGACATGTGAGTATTTGAAATGTATAGCTTTCATTAAAATGAGTTATGAACTCTTGAAGCTTGAAATCCATGTTCATTATGTTTATATTTATAATGTTGAAGAGAAATTGCTTGTATTTTACCATGAAAACATGCTTGGCAAGCCTAATTTTGATGAAGTTTCAAACTGCCAAAACAGGGTCGCACATGCGGGGCTCTTCGCCGCACGTGCAGGAAGCACAACCGCACGTGCGGGGCTCACAGCCGCTCGTGCGGAAAACAAGGGAAAAAGATTGAGCTACACTGTAATAAAAGCACGTGCGGCGCACCTGCCGGCACGTGCTGTGGGGACTTCCGCACGTACGGCCTAAGTTGAAAAATTTTGTGATTTTCTTTCGCTCTTTTCGACCCTCTAAATGTGTTATTGTGTCCATTCAATGTTCCTATAATGCATTTAATTACATGGAACTTAACGAATCGAATAATTGAGAATTAAGAGGAAACAAAGGAAATGTGGTGTACTTACGAATTGTGTGCTATGTGTAGGGCACATACAGGAGGGGACCATTGTTCACCCGTATCACGGTGAGTGATAGTAGTGTAATGTCATGTTTCATTCACGTATTATGTTCATATATATGGTTCGATACCTTATTCATTCCTTTAGTAAGTAACTTATGTTATATGAGATATGTTTGATATATGTTTAAACTTTGGCACATGAGATGTGGACCCGAGGTCGTTCTGTTTGTTATTATAATGGGCCCAAGGCCATTTTGCTAATATGATGGACCTAAGGTCATTTTATATTTCGTTGGGCCTGAGGCTGTTTTGCTATTATGCTAGGCCTAAGGTCGTTTTGTGTTACGTTGGACCTAAGGCCGTTCTGTATTACATTGGGCCTAAGGCCGTTTTGTCTTATGTGGCCCCCAGGCCGTTCAGAAAAGAAAATATGAATAAGACCAACCTGTGATTTATGAATATGCACTGTTAAATTATGCTCGTACTCTTGATCTGTTTGTATTACTATCATTCACTGAGCCTTGCTCACTTCATTTTTATGGATGTTTTGTAAGTAATCAGGCCGCGGGACAACCGTAGGTCAGCCCAAGAGCCTGTAACTGAACCTGTTTTGCTGACTCAAGTCACCAGATGTGACTCTTTTGTTTAATTTTGGGAAGTCTGTATATTGGCATGTTTTGTTGGAATTAGGAGGAATAGACATATGTATATATATAAATATTGGCAATACCTGACTTTTAGGTCGTTACCTTTTCCACATTAACAGTAATGCGAATGATGTTTGGAATGTTAGGTACATATGTATGGTAATGCATTAAGATCCTGGCATGCAGTCACAGCTCAATGAATGTTTTATTCTATTATTTTGCTTCCGTTCTGGCCCCAATATTGAGTAAAATTTATTATAACAAAGTTGAGGCCTTAGGTTAGACCGGTCATGTCCAAACTTTTAGGGGCAGGCTTGTGTCATGACACCTTTGCAGGTCATTCTTAAGTCTAAATTGAAGCACCAGAAGTCTACTTTACAATGGAAATGCCCGCACATCAAAATTCTAAGTGTTCTAAGAGATATGCCTATTTTAGTGACGGTTACTTAGCTTTGTCTTAATCGAATTGATGCCTAACTTCACATGGCCATATCTCCCTCATCCGGACTCGGCTTTAGGAGATTCTTGAGTCTAAAATGAAGCTCCGAAAGTCCACTTTCTAATGGCGGTGGCCTTACAACTAAAGTCTAAGTGTACAAAAGGATAGACCTGATTTAGTGAAGACTGCTCGATTCTCTCTTAACGGTTTATACCCAACTTCTTTCCGAACTAGGTTTCTTCCCTCTCCTCCAATTTTCTTCAACTCCAAACCTCTAAA